AGTAGAAAGGAAAACTGGACCAGGAGGCCACAACAGAAAAAGGGATCATCATTTCAAATTAGAGCTAAAGAGATCAATTAGAAAAGATCCAACTCAATAGATAAGACGTTTGGAACCTAAGAGAGGTGTTTCAGCTATGACCGTCCAATACCTCAGAAAAAGACTTGAAAATGAAGTCGTACGTGGAATCTGTGAGGCACCTTGTTACTCCAGGACAGAAAGTTAGTAGGTTAGAAAGAGCGAAGATCATCTTGAATGATCCTGAATTATATATATATATATATATATATATATATATATATATATATATATATATATATATAATAGAGTAGATAAGTTGGTCAATAAAATGAAGTCAAACGAAAGGGTACTGATGTAATCAGTACAAAAAACATTTATTAATATAAACCACTTGACAAAAATGAAGCCCGGAGATTAAGCTTCCAAGTTCGTAATTTTTGACCACGCCTGTGTTGTTCATCAGCGGACGCGAGAAATAAACAAATGGACGGTGGAGACTATCTATCGTTAGTTCTTGACGCGGGTTAGAGTCCTGTTCGTAGGTGGAATTGTTAGACAACAAAATCCGTTTCCTGTTTGATTTCTCGCTGTGCGAAACCTTTGATATAAAAATTGTGATTGGTGGTGGGTGGAAGGGGAGTGAGATTTTGAAACACACACACCCACACACACACACACACACACACACACACACACACACACACACACACACACACACACACACACACATATATATATATATATATATATATATATATATATATATATATATATATATATATATATATGTTCATCATAGGAGTATAGATTTTAATTTAGTGTATCTATGGGTCATTAGACCTGCAAATGCGAAGCTTCTGCCTGACCCAGTAGGATCGCCTTACTTCTTCTTCCAATTGCAGATCCTTTAACGCCTTTTATTTTTTAAATTTTTATTTTATTTGTTGGTTCTTTTGTTTATTTTTTTTCTTCCTGGGGTCGGGGATAAACGGTGATAGACCTGGGGCAGGGGTGTTATCCGGACTCTGCCTTCGACTGTAAAGAACGATATATTCGGTGCATGGGAAACTCCCTTCCGTTTCTTTCTGCAGTTTCAATCGTTATCAAAACAAATAATGCCGCCGCCGCTGCCGACACTGGCGGCAACGACGACCCTTCACTCACTCACTCACTCACTCACTTACTCACTCAATCAATCAATCACTTACTCTCGTAATATTCTCTTGATCCTTAGCCACACTTTATAGCTTTTCAACGGTACAGACATAAAGTGTGAAATGTACCTAATCTAAACTCTAGGTTAAAAAAAAGAAATGAAAAAGAATGCTTTTTAGTTCATCTACATATCCTTCACAATGATGTTGTTTTACTTCCTCCGCCTCTATCTATCTATCTATCTATCTATCTATCTATCTATCTATCTATCTATCTCTCTCTCTCTCTCTCTCTATATATATATATATATATATATATATATATATATATATATATATATAAATTTAATGAAAAAGACCACTTTAAGGTACCATTACAATAATTTATTTCACCAAAATCCTCTTTAAAGGATTTCGGATTCATCAGGTAACACTTCCAACAGTGAAATGAGAGGAATATATATATATATATATATATATATATATATATATATATATATATATATATATATATATATATATATATATATATATATCCGATAAGTTATCAGGCAGACCAAAGACAGATTTAAAAGAATCTGACGTGTCGTTAGATTCTGGGAAGTCCGTTAGGTTGAGAAACATTTTTTTTACATATTTCGTTAAATATGACAGACAAGAAAGATTTAATTATTTTTTTATTTAGTTTTTCCAAGGTTCTTAACTTTTTCCGTTCGGTGCAAGACTTGTCCATATTGTCCATCGTTCTAGTCGCTTTCGAACACTTCTTTATCTATCTTCAAGGATTTTTTTCAGGCCTAATTAGTGTCTTTTCATGTTTTGACTGTTTAAAATGTATTTTATTTTTGTGTATTTTTTTTTTTAAATATTTGTAAAAACGCAACACCCGAAGGCACGGAATAAAGACTCCTACTACTAGTGTAATGGATTTAACAGGATTTGTGGAATCGGGGAGCCGAGTTCGAATCCATTACATTCACTTATGTACTAATACCCTTGGGCAAAGTATGAATACATTTCTCCCCCCAACCCACCCCCAGATATGCATAAATAGCAGGACAGACGGGGATTATAGCCTTAGATGGCAACTGGTACCGGAGAAAGAAATGGCAACCTACTGCTGGAAAAAATCTACCTCCTTAATCATGTATCGAAAGATACATGATCGCCTAAGCGTGTATCACGCATGGCACATAAATAAACTAATACGCCCTTTTCGTAATACTCTGCGTACTGCATCAACTGAAACCTCGCTGCTAAGATTGCATTCATTCCTCACTTGTTTGTCTGTTAATTTTGGATTGCCTTCCCTAGACCATCACCATCTTCCTTTTGTCTCTCTTGTTTAACACTTGCCTTCAACTGGTTGTCGTTGCACTTAAAACATATCCAGTAATAGCAAACGTCTTTTGGGTGGATTGAACACTGTTTCTGGAAATTCAACCGGCTATCTCTCGTTCAGTCATCTTCCCCTTCAGTCGTAACATTTACCTTAGCTTCAGCAGAACTTTTAGCTATGATCTCAGTGTTAAAAATAAAAGCAAGATAACGTTCAACTACAATGACTTGCCAAGGCACCTTACACACGTGTTAATAAGATGGAACAATACCTAATTTGCATATCATGGCACTATCGTCTGGTATCTTTCCTTGGTACAATAGTTCTGGGTGGTCTTTTTTTCAGTATCAAACTAAATAAAACAGTGTATCTTCTGTTACACGGCCCCTACGAAAGCGCAACAACTTATTTTCCAATCTTCAAGGCCCACAGATATTACTGATAAAAGAATACTGCTAAGCAACGTTAATAAAATAATAGTGTATAATCATTTTATGTAGTTCACCCCAAATTTATGCACGCCATTATATATATATATATATGTGTGTGTGTGTGTGTGTGTGTGTGTGTGTGTGTGTGTGTGTGTGTGTGTGTGTCTTGAACAATAAAAAAATGTTAAAAAATTAAAATTTCAGACACTGAATTGTATCGTAATATTTTTGTTTTATTATTTAAATTAAGTTCTTCAACTAGTTTCGGCCAACATGGCCATCATAAGAAGAAAAAAATTCCTGCTTTTTAGTAGTAGTGATCTACAAGGATGAATGTCTGCCTTTGAAGAAAGTGCACTTTGTAATTTTCATTTGTTTTTTGGGGTTTTTTATCGTTAATTTTTGGTCAGTTCTTGTCTCCTCTTTAAAAGTCAAGCCCTTTCGAACACAGACTGAACCAGTCCTACTGCATGGATCAGAAACTTGAACATTATCTGTTCGTCTTGAAAAACGACTGGATCAAACATACAAATCAAGAACATCAGTTGGAGATCCTTTGCAACGCTTAACACAATCTACGGAGAAATGAGACCAATTTCTATTAAACTCAAACAAAAGCGATTACAGTTTGCCAGACACTAACACCGAGTGGACGGGGGTGGGGTCGTCTCAAACTTACTCCTAGTGCATCCTTCTGGAGGGGTCTTCTCACGAAAGTTAACTTTCTCAGACACCATGGCTCAGGACCCAGGGTTTGGACATTGGGGATCTTGGAACGGAAATGCAGGACCGAGCAGTTTGGAAAGGGATTATTAATGAAGTTTCAACCAACCACATGGAGGTCGAAGGATGATGATGATGATGATGATGATGATGATGATGATGATGTATGTTTCTTTCTTGTGCCTTTTCAATAAATACTTTCATGGTAACTGTTCGGGTGAACTTTGCACTTTCACAGGGAGTCTCATTTTTAAATGTTGTTTTTTATCCTACCCCACAGACAAATTTTACATATGGGAACTAGTTAGGATTACATAAAGCCTTGAGGTATTATGGCGACTGTAGTAAGAATGTTATCGATCCCGACCTGGTATTTCGGTTTCAGTTACTTTCATGGTAATTATTCTGATGGACTTTCCGACTGGTTAGGACTTCCTAGAGACTCTGAGCTATTACGGTGACTGTAGTAAGAATGTTATCGATCCCGACCTGGTATTTCGGCTTCAGTTACTTTAATAGTAATTATTCTGATGGACTTTCCCACAGGTTAGGACTTCCTAGAAACTCTGAGGTATTATGGTGGATGTAGTAAGAATGGTAAGTAAGAATGTTGTTTTGGTGTAAGGGATATCGTGGTATATTTGAGTCAGTAATCGTGGATAGCTAAGTTTAAGATAAGACAAATTGAAGACCAGCCTTCTCCTAACCCCACTTTTAGCCTTGTGCCATATTTTTTTATTATCTAAAATAAATATTATTTTTCACTATGGTATCTAGACTTTATAAATTTAAGTGCAGTACTAGATTAGTAACAGGGTCTCATCATTTTGCAGCTGAACGGTTAAATGTAACCGTAAGTTCTATGCTAACAGTTTTTTTTCGTTTTTTTTTTTGCATCTCCCGCCTGTTGTACTCTCTCCCAGTTTCTTGTTTTGCGGCCACCAAAAAATAAAATTAAATGCAATGTCAAACTTTATCTAATAACTTCTTGATTCTTTTTCTTTTATTGTTCTTGCACCTTAGTAATGTTTTTCTTTATCTTATTCTTTCATAAATTAGTGGCTTCATTACCATGACTGAGGTGAAATGATTGAACAAATTCGTGGATATCCATTATCGCTTACGTCTTAAAGGGGTCTAGCATTTAAGATTATCAGCATAAGTAACAAAAACTTCGTCAATAGTTTGAATATATCGTGGAATGCCAATGATTCTTCTAAAAGATACCAAAGGGTGGTGGGTATCTTAAACAAAGAGATTAAAAACACAAAACTGAAATGATAATCCTTCATCTGTAAATTACAAAAAAAATATGAACTAGAAGGATAGAGATTAATAATCCGGATAATTCTTGTGATGATAAGGACTCAACAAGAAAGAAAGAAAGAAAGAAAGAAAGAAAGAAAGAAAGAAAGAAAAGTGAAGCAAAGAAAGAAAGAAAAGTGAAGAAAAGAAAGAAAGAAAGAAAGAAAGAAAGAAAAGGAAGCAAAGAAAGAAAGAAAAGTAAAGAAAGAAAGAAAGAAAGAAAAGTGAAGCAAAGAAAGAAAGAAAAGTGAAGCAAAGAAAAAAAAAGAAAGAAAGAAAGAAAAAAAGAAAGAAAGAAAAGAAAAGCAAAGAAAGAAAGAAAAGAAAGAAAAGAAAAGAAAGAAAAAGAAAGAAAGAAAAGTGAAGCAAAGAAAGAAAGAAAGAAAGAAAGAAAGAAAGAAAAGAAAGAAAAAAGAAAGAAAGAAAGAAAGAAAAGTGAAGCAAAGAAAGAAAAGTGAAGCAAAGAAAGAAAAGTGAAGCAAAGAAAGAAAGAAAGAAAGAAAGAAAGAAAAGTGAAGCAAAGAAAGAAAGAAAGAAAGAAAGAAAAGTGAAGCAAAGAAAGAAAGAAAAGTGAAGCAAAGAAAGAAAAGTGAAGCAAAGAAAGAAAGAAAAAAAGAAAGAAAGAAAAGTGAAGCAAAGAAAGAAAGAAAGAAAGAAAGAAAGAAAGAAAAGTGAAGCAAAGAAAGAAAGAAAAGTGAAGCAAAGAAAGAAAAGTGAAGCAAAGAAAGAAAGAAAAAAAGAAAGAAAGAAAAGTGAAGCAAAGAAAGAAAGAAAGAAAGAAAAGGAAGCAAAGAAAGAAAGAAAAGTGGCTAAAAGAAAGAAAAGGAAGCAAAGAAAGAAAGAAAAAAGAAAAGAAAGAAAAGAAGCAAAGAAAGAAAGAAAGAAAGAAAGAAAGAAAAGTGAAGCAAAGAAAGAAAAGTGAAGCAAAGGAAGAAAGAAAAGTGAAGCAAAGAAAGAAAGAAAAAAAGAAAGAAAGAAAGAAAGAAAAGTGAAGCAAAGAAAGAAAGAAAGAAAGGTGAAGCAAAGAAAGAAAAAAAAGTGAAGCAAAGAAAGAAAGAAAAGTGAAGAAAGAAAGAAAAGGAAGCAAAGAAAGAAAGAAAAAAGAAAGAAAGAAAGAAAGAAGCAAAGAAAGAAAGAAAGAAAGAAAAGAAAGAAAGAAAAGTGAAGCAAAGAAAGAAAAGAAGCAAAGAAAGAAAAAAAAGAAAAAAAAAAAAGAAAGAAAGAAAAAAGAAAGAAAAAAGAAAGAAAGAAAGAAAGAAAGAAAAAGTGCAGCAAAGAAAGAAAGAAAAGTGAAGCAAAGAAAGAAAGTGAAGCAAAGAAAGAAAGAAAGAAAGAAAGAAAGAAAGATAGAAAGAAAGAAAGAAAAGTGAAGCAAAGAAAGAAAGAAAAGTGAAGCAAAGAAAGAAAGTGAAGCAAAGAAAGAAAGAAAAAAAGAAAGAAAGAAAGAAAGAAAAGTGAAGCAAAGAAAGAAAGAAAAGTGAAGCAAAGAAAGAAAAGTGAAGCAAAGAAAGAAAGAAAAAAAGAAAGAAAGAAAGAAATGGGCCCCCAGTCTCCATAAAGTATGTGTGCAATTTAAAATACTTAAGTATTTCAAATTGCACACTGACTTTATGGACACCCTGTATTTGGCACAGTGTTGTCAAAATGTCCGAAGAGAAATTGGATGCAGGTTCCATGCTGTTAGCACCTCTACTGGAGTCCCGGTGAAATAGTGGCGTTGTTTTCCATCTGTTAAAAGCAGGCGCCATAACATGCAATTTCGTTGAAGTATTTGCCAGCAATAACTATTTTGATGGTTATTAACCGTTATTTTCTCTAGCTTTCTATTTCTTTCTTTTTTTTTTTTTTGTTTTTTGTCTTTTTTTTTTTTACCTCTTCTAAGTATAGCTCTCTCTCGTTATTTCTCGTTCAATCACGTCGTTTTTATCTCACGTGGTCTCATAAACTTTTTTTCACATCTGTTCCTCCTCCTCTCTCTCTCTCTCCCTCTCTCTTTCTCTCTGTCTTTCTCTCTCCCCCTCTCTCTCTCTCTCTCCTTATCTCTTTATGCCTCCTCACTTCTTTCCTTCTTGGTCTCTTTGTTTCTACTTCTCTTTTTCTCTCCCCGTTTTTATTTTTCTTCTTATTCTATATATGTTTCCCTTACAATCTTTACTCTTTCTCTTTCTCTCTCTCGCTTTTACTCTTGTCCTCACGTCGTTTTTTTTCTTTCTCTTTCCATTTTCTCTCTTTTCTTTCCTTCTCTTTCAATATTTATAATTCATTTTTACTTTCTTTTTTTCTTTCTTTCTTTCTTTCTTTCTTTCTTTCTGTCTTTGTCTCTCTACTGTTCTCCTTTTCTTTTTCTATTTTCATTCTATTCATTCTCAATTCCTTTCTATTACTCTTTCTCCTGCTCTTTTTCTTTCTCTTTTTTTCTCCCCAGTTTTTCTTTCTCTTCTTCACTTTCTATCTATCTTCATCTTTCTCTCTCTCTTTCTCTTTAGCTTTCATTTTCATCTACCTTTCTTTTACCGTTTTTCCTCTTGTTCGCCCACCTTTTTGATTTCTATCTTTCTTTCAATCTCTTTTTCTCCTTCATTTCTTTTTCCCTGAGTCTTTCCGCCATACTCTTGGTCTCTCCTTTTTTTTTCCTTTTTTTTTTTTCATGCTGTCTTTTTATCTTTCTCTCTCTTATTTATTTCTCCTTATTTGATTTCCTCTTTCGTCACACTCCTTCTATCTCTCTCCTTATTCCTTTCTCTTTAATTTATTTTTCTCTTTCTACTCTCTCATTCTTTCTTTCTCTCTCTCTCTCTCTCTCTCTCTCTCTCTATCTATCTATCTATCTATCTATCTTATTCTCTCCCTTTATCCCTTTCACCCATGAAGCTTAGATTTTTGTGATCAATTTTGCAATTTCTTCTCAAAAAGTTAAAACCAGTTAACTGGTTTTCACTCTAACATAAAAATGAAGACATTTTTTTAAAAAGAAGTGTCCTTTCTTATTTCGGGAATACAAAAATATTTTGACAACTGTAAAGACAAAAAACATTTATTTATTTTAAAATTTAGGTAGCGAATGTTGCTTTTCTCGCTTTTTCTTTTATTTTTTTCCCCTTGATTTTTTTTTCGTTCAAAATTTGATTGTAGATCTATTGTTTCGACATCAAAGTACGCCAAGTTGCTTGATAGAGTCCGTGACGATGACATTTTCACACTGATACCACGCGTCTGTTGTACGTCATTTTTGTCTCACATGTTTTTCTTACTTTTGTTCTTTCTTTTGTCTGCCTTTTTCTTTCTTTCGTTTTTTTTCTCTCGCTCATTTCTTTCTTTCTTTTACTCCATTCGTTCTTTTGTTTTCTAACATATTTTTCTTACTTACGTTTCTTTTTTTTTTTTCTTTCGTTCTTTTCTTTCTTACCTTTTATCTTTCATTCGTTCTTCCATTTACTAGTAAGTTTTCCTTTGCTTCGAGAAAAAGATAATGGTTTTCTTAAACTTGGAGAAGTTCTCAAAGATTTGAACTGTTTAGTTTGGTTTGGTTTAAGGCATATCAACCTCAATGGATTATTTAATGCCGACAAAATCTATTATAATTAAAGAAATAACAAATAATTGTATTAAAAATTCATTTTTCATCGAAAAACTTTTTCGCTGCCAGAAAATATTACCCATATTCATAAAAACAACTAAAAGCAAATAAAAGCATTTGAAATTAAATAATATCTTTGTTTTATTGAGTTTTGCATGTTACAATTCAGACCTGATTTTCAGGTAGGGTGGGGGGCAATTAAAAACGAAAATCATGATTTGCATTTCACAATGCCTTGTACTTTTAACTATTGTAATCGCTAAACTTGATTCGATAGAATTTCTAGAGTTTTCATAAAATTAGTTAGGGGGGTAATAAATATATAAAAAATATTTCTGCCATGACTTTAAAAAAAAAATTATAATAATTACCATCATCTATGAATAGTTTCTGAAAGTTTCATTAACATCCGACAATTATTTTTATTTTTCAAGATTTTCCAAATTAATGTGTGTCATACAAAAAAAAACATGCTAGAAATTGTATATGTTATTTTACTAGTTCCAGTGATACAAAGAGAAACAAAGTTTTTTTAATCAAAATTTAGAATGTTCTAAAAAGAAGGAAATTTTTTTAAAAATACGCCAAAAATACTTTGATCTTTCCTCTTCATAGTAACATAAAGATTTAGACGATAAAATTTTGTTTACGTCAAGTTTGGCGTCTTTTTCATCATGCTATGCTCTTTTTTTTAGCTGTCTAGTGGAAGTACCTATTTTTAATGCTGGAATTTTTTTTTTATCAAATGTATTGCTGGTAAAAATTTTTCCCCTTCAAAAATCTATTTCTGGTAATATTTTTTCTTCAAAAATATTTTTTTTCAAAAAGTATAGCTGGTAATTTTTATTTTTTTTTCAAAAATATATTGCTGGTAATAATTTTCTTCAAAAACTTATTGCTGGTAATAACTTTTTTACAAAGTATTTCTGGTATTAAAACCTATTTTTATACTTTCATAATGTTTTGACCCCGTTTGGGGGTTAACCATTTGCCCATAGCTGGGTCCCTAACAGGTGCTACCACCCCGAGTCAGGGTGGACCTGGGAACACCAGCAATTAAGAGGTTGTTCCACGCTCCTCAAAGCCTCCTGATCAGAGGCCTTGCTGTTGGACGTAGTTTATCGTCTTACCCAGGACACGGATGTAGTTTATAACCATACCCAGGGCAGAGATTTGAAGTGTGGTTACAGTCGTTTGATCAACTTTTGGAAAGATGATGTTTCAAAACAAAATTATCAAAGATATCTAACAAATAAAAGAAAAAAAACGTTTACCTGGTGTAATAGTAACATTGTTTAAATCGTGTAACAGCATAATTGTCCATCCACAAAATGTTTAATATCTAAAAAAACACTAAATTAATTAAGTTTCTTTTTTTCAAATTTTCAGATAAGACGGTTAGCGATCTTGTCACCGCTTGTCGTAAGAATCAAAGAAAAACATTTTGAGTTGTTCAGATACAAAGAGAATAGGCTAAAATCGTTTTCTGTCAGCTCCACTATGTCTTCCCAACTGAGTAATGGTGAGAGGAAAAAGAATCACATTCAGTCCTTCGGTTATGGTACCAACATTCATACTCTGACGTTCACCTTCAAAGTCCATTCAAGAACCATCAAGAGAACGTTGAATATGTTTAAAAAAGAGGGAACAGTAGAGAGGAAGACTGGATCAGCAGGTCACAACAGGAAGAGGGATCATCATTTCAACTTGGAGTTAAAGTGATCAATTAGAAAAGATCCAACTCAATCCACAAGATGTTTGACACGCGAGAGAGAAGTTTCAGCCATGACAGTGCAAAGAGCAGAGAAAAAGATTTGAAAATGAAATCGTACGTGAAACCTGTGAAGCAACTTGTTACTCCAGGACAGAAAGTTAGAAGATTAGAGAGTGCGAAGATCATCTTGAATAATTTGGAAAATCATCCTAGAATAATATATATTTGAACTTTATATCAATCTTTCATGAGCTTCTGAACCTTAGTTATGATTAATTAATGATGAACATGTCATTTTTGTTTATAATCGATTTCATTATGATTCTTCTGTTACGCTTGAAGAGTAATTTACATTCTTATTAAAGTAGAGTTCTATAGTGTTATTAAAATATCGGCGATTCCAGTAAGATATTTTTAAACATTTCTGAGGTAGAACGATTCAAAGCTTAATCTAACAATTGGACAAGTTTGCTGTCACATCATTTGGACAATTTTGCTGTTACACCCGGTATATCAATTATCCAAACAGTCTAAGACTTATATTAGAAAGACCTGTATAAATGGAAAAGTATGTATATCTTTGTTTTATGGATTATGCAAAAGTGTTTGATAAAATACGTCACAAAACTGTTGGATCTGCTCGTTAATCATGACATATTTGGCAAGGATATTAGAATTATCCACAAACTATACTGGGATCAAATCATCTGCATCCGGATAGAAAATGAATTCAATAAATATACAAAACTAGAAAGAGGTGTAAGAACAAGGATGTACCTTCTCTATCGTCCGTAATTATCATAAAAACATGCGATATGCAGATGACATAGTGTTGATAGCGGACACAAAAAGGACACTAAAAGAACTCCAACAGATTATGAGGAAGTAAAGCGAAAAAAGGATTAAAAATCAATTGCAAGAAGACTGAATGCATGTTTCTTAAGCAAAAGGGTCAGACCAACATGCAAATTACAGATTGGAGACAACAAGTAAAACGCCGTTTAACAAGGGAAGGAATGTGCAAAACTGAAATCCAAAGTTAAGTTGGAATTACGAAAAATGCCTCCCAAAAGCTAAGCAAGTATTAAGAAACAGGAAATTTTCTAGACAGTCCTTCTATATGTCAATGAACGAGGGACAATCTCTTCACAGATGGGGAAGAGACTTGAAGCAACAGAAATGTGTCTGTCTATATTTCTGAGATGAAGTATTGTAATTATTTACATATTATATATATATATATATATATATATATATATATAATATGTGGCGCAGTTCAATTTATATTACAATGAATCATTAATGCAAATATTAGATTAGTAAATTTAATGATATAAAATGACGAAATTCCTTCGCAAACAAAATTTTAAAGGTGCATTAACTTACAAATCACTTGATGAATGTTAGGATCCTTCTTTTTTTAAAATTATAAGCTGTAGAAAGTCTTTCTTTAATAAGCAAGTACTTTCGACTGTACATTCAGTCATCTTCAGGCATGGAAATTATTTTGTTTTTGGTAAAATTCAGGTAGCATCCGAGACGAAAAAATTAAATGCGAATCGAAATGTTTTTTTTTTTTTTTTTTTTTTAATGTGTTATTGTTAACGGATACAAACTTTTGGAACGTGCAGTCGCAACGCTATGGTTGATTTTTTTTTTTTAATTTAAGGGAATGCATTTTTTTTACAAATATGGTAATTTGAATTTTTTTTTTTTTGCAGGAGTTTATCTGTCAATGTGGCATGAACTAAATTTTTCAATAAATAGAGTAATGTCTCAGTTATTATCACAAAAATTTGCACGTCAGATTAGTTCTTTTAAATCAAATATGTGGCGCAGTTCAATTTATATTACAATGAATCATTCATACAAAAAGTAGATTAGTGAAGTCAATGATATTAAATGGCGAAATCCCATCACAAACAAAATTTTAAAGGTGTATTAACCTACAAATCTCGCGATGAATGTTATGATCCTTGTTTTCAAAAATTATAAGCTGTATAAGAATATATATATATATATATATATATATATATATATATATATATATGAGTGTGTGTGTGTGTGTGTGTGCGCGCGTGTAATTATTTACATTATTTACATTGTTCGAACTACTATCCTCAACTTTAAGAGTTGTGAGTTCAATACCTGGCTACGGCAGTGTTGAAGAAAATCTTAGAGAACTGAGTTAAAGGGAGATAACTGACACACCCGGAAGAGGCACGTGGAACTAGAACAGTCTACCCGCTGGACGAAATGAAGAGTTCACTTCGAAATTCCAATGACCTGAAGAAGGCCGGGGCGTATGACGGCCGAAACGTTGTGAATATGGCAATGAAGATGAGGATAACAGTCCGAATGCACACCAACAAAAATTCTTGTGTCCCTGGTCACTTACTGAACTGTAACACAATTATATACACAGATATACAATTCTTGTTTATTTTAACATCATTATTATTATTACTATCATCATTTTTTATATCACATTACTCTCCACATACAGACAAAGTAGGAAACACTAAAACTATTTCTACACATACATACACACACAAATTTAATCTTTATACGTTGAACGTTTTTTAGATTGCCACTAAAGTCCAATAAGTTTGAATCCCCGACACTTTAACTACTTAAAACCTTGTTGTCATGAACTACTTAACACTTTGCTATCATTAGGACGCTAATTGAATTATTATAAACAGTAATTCGGACTTTGATAACTAGATGCTTCTTTGTGACTGAATGGTTAACAGCACATCAGATTCCCAATATTTGACAACAAAATCATAATTGTTGGCGCGAAAATTTCTATGACTGATCACGTGATCATAATCACCCAATCAGATTGCATTTTAAACAGATAACAATCTAAGCCAAAGCAGCTTGATTTGTTATCTACTGTCTTCTTGATTCCTCTTCTTTTATTGTTCTCGCTCCTTAATAATGTTTCTTTTTTTCTTATTCTTTCATACCCAGTAACCCCTAGTGTCTTAGAGGCTTTATTGCCTTGCTTGGGGGGGATATTTTTTTTGGGGGGGTAAAAAAGACAACTATTCAAAATTGATACCTGAAGATAAATAATTAAACATGTGCGAGTTTTGATAAAAAGATCATAAACTGACAAAAACTTGGAGACCAGTCCTGACATCCTGCGACTGTCTACGAGATAGAGCACATATCACTGCTAAATGCCAAATGTCCACTTGCGAGCTCACTGTACCACGTTGAATAATCTTTTTAACATACTGATAACGTTTTAAGAGAGCTCATTTTTAACACATAAGTGCCTCTTCATGACAATCTTAAATCCTCTGGAGTAACAATCCCATATTCGATAATCTGGCTATCAGTCCATCAGATCGCAAAGAATCAGAAATCAAAGACCGTGCGTCACTCAACGCTGAGCCATCACACGTGGCTAATCTCCCATTCTATGACATCTGAACCGTTAACGTGCGAGATTTCCTCGTTTGTTAATATCCAGTACGCGTGTTAAGTCACTCGCGTGATAAGAGATATTAGGAATTGCACGTGAAACACTTATCTAATTTCCCTTTCTGCTTAAGTACTATATAGGATATATATATATATATATAGTCTGGCACAAGGCCACAGAATCCTGCCACCCCCGAAAGTTTTGAACGCAATCATTTAAAAAAGAATAGTCTACACAGATTGGTTTATTAATCATCGATCTTAAAAACAAGGATGTTAACTTTGACACTACATTAGGAGCCTGTTTATCACACACACAAACACACACACACAGAGACATATATATATATATATATATATATATATATATATATATATATATATATATATATATTATGAAATGGATTAAGTTGTTAATAAGTTAAGTTGATCATAATATGTTATCAATGTTTACGTTAAGTTATGTTTCGTGAGCAGATATGATCGTTAGGGAAAGATCGTAGAAGATTTGTTGCGTATAAACAGTAATTCGGACTTTGATAACTAGATGCTTCTTTGTGACTGAATGGTTAACAGCACATCAGATCAAATGATGGCTCCCATTAGGTTCATAGGTTCCATTCCTGTCAGAAAAGCACATATTTCCTCCGAAATTTCTCGAATATTCAGGACGGTAAATGTAAGTAATACTGTTTATTTAAAAAAACAAAAAAAAACAGAGGTTTTACTTAAATAAATTGTATCTAATAAAATAACGTCCAAACAGAATATATATATATGTGTGTGTGTGTGTGTGTGTGTGAAAAGTGTGTATATATATATATATATATATATATATATATATATATATATATGTATGTGTGTGTGTGTGTGTGTGTGAAAAGTGTGTATATATATATATATATATATATATATATATATATATATATATATATATATATATATATGCGGGTACATGTATACATTCACGAGACCTTCACGAGAAATTTTCGCTACACCGCTACACTTCCGATCTTTGAATTTCAACATACAAATGCATATTTATATAGACAACAGCAAATCCCAAACTGTCCACATATGTTTATGTCTGTATGAGACCCGACAGACGAGTGAGTGTGTATGTGTGTCTGCGTACCTCATCGGGTGTACGGACATGCATCTATGTTTGCTTTAGCATGAGTGACATTGACGATTCCCCACCCCCACTCCCATAATGACACTAATACACGCAATCTACATAAACCAAAATTTTTAAAAATTAATCAGTTTTTCTGACAATCTCAAAAGCGTGAAACCCAGGGTCATAAACTTACATTAATCCAACCAAAAATATATATATATATATATATATATATATGTATGTGTGTGTGTGTGTGTGTGTGTGTGTGTGTGTGTGTGTGTGTGTTATTCATTCGTGGACTTGAAATGATTAAAACTAAAACACATAATACGTCTAAATTATTTAACCAAACCTGCATCAATGAATATATATATATATATATATATATATATATATATATATATATATATATATTATTTATTTATTCGAAAATATATTTGCTCTAGTCTGTATTGAGCACTCTTTTAAGAATAGTATTTGTTGGTTATTGGAATTTATTCCGTATACACCAATCCTATACTTGGGCATACATACATACATAGATAGATAGATAGATAGATAGATAGATAGATAGATAGATAGATAGATAGATAGTGTATTGAGACAGCAGATCATTATGCAAACATATATTGTTAAATATAATAGACAGCGAATATCTATTATTGTTGATCATAAGACCTTCTAAGCTTCTTAGAGTTGCTTTAATTTCGGGAGAAAATAAAGAAAGAAACTTTCCAAGATTTGGATATTTTTTATTATGCTGTTCCTCAATCTAAGCTTTCGACTCACATGAGCCATCATCAAAGGTGGTTATATGGTCATTACAACAGAGATGTTCACCATCAAAGATGACATCCTATTATGTTTACATAGACGCTTGCTATGCGACGATAACGGTCGTGGAACAGCAGCCGCAGATCGTAAATTCCTAATGCGGGTTCTATGACGTCATACAAGGCCAAACTAAAATCACTATACGAAGTCAACGGCTAAATATAATAGACATTTGTTGTCTCTGATATTTAACAATATTTGTTTGAATGTGCTATTGAAAATATATTTTCAATTGAGTCCTGTTGAATCAGAAGCTAATTATAAAAAAACAACGGTCACCTGCGTAAATGCGAAGCTCTTCAGTAAAATGAATAGAGCACTATGGCTGCTTGGCGTTTTTTTACGTTTATAAAAGCAATATGCTAGATGTGGCTGAATCGTGCTGTCAAATGGAGATGGCTCAGTGGTAGAAACTCTGACACCAAATCGGTTGGGTTTCGATCCAGGCTTGAGTGGTGTAGCTAAGCAGCTGTAATACAGCGAAACAGTACTGTCTGCGAATAATATATATATATATATATATATATATATATATATATATATATATATATATATAAAGAGAAAGGGATGAATATATAAAAATGTAATTGATATATCTACCTATATATAAAAAGAAAGAACGGTAAGATATATAATCCGGTGTTATTATAGATATTTTTATTTTTTACAAAATAGTGTTCAATGTAAATTTACAGAGCATTAATTCGCTTGAGTATGAAATGGAACTAATGTCTTTAATTTAATTACAAAATTAAATTCGAAGCTTTTAGCTTCCATTTTGAAACATAGTTAGGACTATGTAGCGAAAAAAAATATTTTAAATCAATTAATATATATATATATATATATATATATATATATATATATATATATGTTACATTAGAACATGTAAATATCCCTACAAAATTGTACATTTGTCTCAACGTTTCTTCAGGTGGCAAGGACTGAGAGTACCACTATTTGCATTAGATATTTGCATGTTCTAATGTAACAGTGCATAATAAATATTTATTGCCCTACTTTTGTATTGAAACCTGTTTTAAATTAATGTTTTGAACGTTGAAATTTTATTCTTCGTTCTTTTACACTTTTATATTCTTGGATATATATATATATATATATATATATATATATATATATATATATATATATATAAAGAAATATACATTTAAGGTGTGCTATATTTATGGAATAAAGTGCTCAATATCAGAGATAGAGTGTATATAAATATAAAAGTGAACATTGAAGTCAACACTCAGAGGCGACAGGCTGTTTCTTGCTGGACGCAATCCTTTCTTTAGTGATATCAGTCTTTCTAACTAACCCTTAGCTGGCGGAAAAAAGATGGATTCATACATTTTCCTAAGGGTATTTTTTTTTATTATTATTTAAGCGTTTCACCCCAAGCAAGGCGGGAAGTCACTAGGATGCAGGGGGTTACAGAAGATTTGCAGTAAGATCAGATAGGAGTGATAGAGGAAAGGATGAGGAGAAGGGTAGTGGATAGATCAAGGCAACTGAAGATGTCGATTGACATTACATTTGAATAGTTGGAGTTTATAGCTCTCAGGTAAAATGGAATAGGGAAGGGAGTTCCACAGGCGAGAGGTGCCAGATATGAAGCTATTGGAGTAGAAGAGACGGCTAAATTTAATAGTTTCAACAGTGAAAGGGTGAGAGCATTGCGTGTATGAGAGTGACGAATCCAATTGGAATTAGAATTCGGCTCTACGATTAAGCATCCCGAGCCATTATCAATTACATCTCACCGGACATCCTGGGTTTTCTCCAGCGTTGCTTAACTTTAGTGATCTTACAGGAACAAGTATTTCAACGTGATGTGACCAGAAGCCTGGGATAGTGAACAGAACATTATAAGAAGAGCAGGAAGAGGAGGGGAAAATGAGGGGGAGAATGAAGATAAAGATGAAGAGAAGCAGGGAGAAGAAGCAGAAGAGGAGAAAAAGAAGAGGAAAAAGAGAGGATAGAAGAAGAAGAAGAAGAAAGAAAGAAAGAAAGAAAAGAAAGAAAGAAAGAAGAAGAAGAATAGGAGGAAGAAGAATAGGAAGAAGAGGAGCAAGAAGAGAGGGAAGAAGAAAAACAAGAATTGAGAGAAGAGGTGGAGGAAGAAGAAGAGGAAGAAGAAGAACAGAAGGGGGTGGAAGAAAGAAGGAGAAGGGGAGTAAAAGGAAGAAGCAGAGAAAAATGAAGAAGAAGCAGAAGAAGGAGGAGGAGGAGAAGAAGAAGGTTATGGTGGGAAAAATTAAGTGTCTCTCTAAAGAAAATAGTGAAGACATTCAAATTACAATTCAAGATATGTAGGCGTTAATGAAAATTGATAATTAAATAAAAATATATATTAAAATAATGAGAACAGTAAGCTTTACAATCCGGTCTTCTTAGTAGTTATTTTTATTTAAAAAAAAAAAAAAAAAAAAAAAACATTACTCTATACAATACAGTAGAGATTAAGCGACCAAACAAAAATGCCAAAAAATTTTATCATTGAAAAACCCGGACGTCACGTGAAAAACGGACCTCATTGTTTGTGAGCAGCACCCTACCTCACCTTAACTTAACCTGCTTTTGAAAGTAACTTATATTTGATAAAGTTGTCTAGAGGAATTAAAACCCAATCAAAATGATTAAAATTTCTGTAATCTTAACAACTTGAAATATTAAAATTGACTGTGCTTATAAATCAAATAAGTTTCTTAATAACTTATTCCAAAAATCCCTTAAGAACGGAACGGAGGTAAGAATTTTAAATTTAATTTTTATAGTTAAATTTAAAATTTTACTTTCTGTTTTGAAACATGGTAATTCCTGTGTAGCGATGGAACCATATTTTTAAAATAGAAAATAATTATAATAAGAATTAAATAAAAATAGATATTTATTATAAAATTTGGTTAAGCTTTTTAACGGTATTTGTTTTAATCTTTTTTTCTACAAGTATTATCTTCAACGAGATGTTATAAAATACGTTTATATTATAAAAAAAAACCCTATTTCCTGATTAATCGAATTAAACTGTGATATCATAGTTGATTCAATAATCTTTCTAGATTCATGATAAATAAATTCTACCATTTCAGCGTTCCTAAAAATCAAAAAGAATGGTTTGTATATTGTACGTGCGAGCTTAAAAAATTTAATAGTATAATCACCAGATGTTAGTGTTGACATGTCTGTATCCGCCATCCAGCATCCAGAGCCACGCCTTCGAAAGGTCGCCTAACCGTTGGTTGGAAGGATGGGTAGGCTGAGGAAGACGGCAGATAGCCTGGTACTTTGTGGTAGCTTCGAACCTGGTCGTGACACACACAAACACTGATAATGGAAAAAGGTGATATCGCGGCTCGATCCCTCCCAGCCGGACCCTTAGATAAGGACTCATTTTTAATGAAGTCAACCGGTCTTTTTGAGGGGACATAAACAGTGATTAAAATCTCCGTCATAAGACGCCTAACGGGCAGCGAACGGAAATAACTACAGACATTCGAACACACATGCATACCTACATAAATATATACAGATATAATGGCCGTAACTCGTTGTCGTGTATGACTATTGCAGCATAGCAGGGACTCGGGAACGAACCCTCCTCGTTCTCTTCGTATTCCATTAGTAAGGAAGAAGTTCTTTACAACTAAAACTCGCCTTGCCTTCATCCTCTTTGCATTTCATTAGTAAGAAGGAAATGTTAATCGAACAGCTTCTTCCAAACTGTCGCTACTTTCTGGAACAGACTCCTGGGGGGGATGCTTCCGTGATCTCTACAATTTTAACTTCTTCAACTCTAGGGTAATCCGTTATCTAATCTACATCTACTCATTGTCCGTACTACTTATGTCCATACAGCAATCTCACTTGATAACCACCTACCTTGAGTGGCTCTTGGGACATATATTGAGTGAATATTTAGCAAAAAAAGCCGATCTCGCAGATCTTTACTACTGGGTATTGTGTTCGTTTCTCACTGGGTGGCTTATCTATACCTATAATTCTCAAAATATGTGTTGATGTGTGTGTGTGTGTGTGTGTGTGTGTGTGTGTGTGTGTGTGTGTGTGTGTGTGATCGGATGTTGTTCATGCGTTTCCTCAATTTTCATCAGATTTCGATTATTATTATTAATATTATTATTATTTTGTTTGTTTGATAGATAATTCTCCAGTGCTGGTTTTGAGTCCAAATTATTTGGAAAAAATTACAACCTTGAAGGTAAAAAATCGAACAATAAACTGATTTTTTTACACGTCGCGCAAAAATCAACCGGAAAAATTTAATGTCTGTAAAAAACAGCGTACAATCAATTTGGAGAGTTGAAATCTAACGCAAAATATTATTAGAATTATTAAAAGAACATTATATTATAAATAAAAATTATCGTATATTATTATGACGGTCCTTAGAAGAGGTTTCTTCCTAGCAAGATTGAGAACGCAAAAATGGCTCTTTTTAGGGTCACTTCCCCACACCCCATTCAAATTGTTAAAATCCCCCCCCCCATTCGGGTATGTGCATCAGTTGCACCCAATTGTTGTTACTAATATTGATTTTCGGGTGGGCTGACTTTAAACTTAAACTGCTCCAATTGAACGGTAAAAATTCCTAAGAATGAAAGACCCGGTCAGAGATGGGTTATAATGCTCGTACAACAATAAAACTCGCATTCGTTTTTTATGCTTTATTTTTTATATTCGTTTATATGCTCGTTTCCAATAAACGTTGCATATAACATCACTGAAGATTCTTTCAAACTTTCAGCTTTCCAAAGAATACCAAGATGTAAACAAAGAAATTCTACCTACCAGAGATACACCCCACAGGTTCTTGAAAATGTCTGAAACGATCCAAAGTACTTGAACAAAACAGCATAATGGTCGGACGAACTACATTACCTTGTACCGCCGAGGCAAGCCTTCATTGCAAAGAATGAACTATGTTACTTACAGAGTAGCAAATCATTCACATTTCCTCCGTATTGGTGAGATGTAACTTCCACTTGAGCAGCTTCTTCCTGCGAACCACTGCCCTGTGGAACCGACGCCCAATTGGGTGTTTTCCTGATCACTATAATCTTAACCTGTTCAAGGCTAGGGTTAACCTTTATCTTCCTATACTCACAAATGGCCGCTAAACGTAACCCTTTACCTTGAGTGACCCCTGGGTCTTGTAAAAGGTGAAACTCGCTGTAAAAAAAAAAAAAAAAAATTAAAAACATAACACATTCTTTTTGGGATTGCGACTTACGCTATCTCCACCACTTCGTCCCCAGCCCCTCAACATCCGACGTCTTCCTCTTTGGGTTGAAAGGTGTCCCCTCGGTCCGAACCGAACTTAGGGGTAACTGGCCGTACGCTTCCTGAGTATCCGTAGATTATTTCGACCGGTCAGCTGGTCAAGTCCTGCTTGCTGCCCACGCTGTGTTAGTTTTTAGATCCAGTAAGCGGGATGTTGTCCATATGTTCACGGTCGACTGGGGATGTGGACACGGCTGTGAGAGTTGACGCTAGGAAGTTTAGAATGTGTCAAAATAAAACAAGAAATAATATCTGCAGAAGCCAAACAACAATGGGGGAAATATTGACGTCTTTTATATAAGAAGATAACATCAGAACAGAGGTTACAGGGAGAATAAAAACATTTAACATAAATGAGAAAAGAAAAAGACAAAATGCATCTAGTGAATTCCCAACAGAGAGAGGGTTTGTGTGTGATAAACGCGTATTGAATCGCCTGGGGTAGGTTTATGACTAATAGTCCAGTCTCATACAGACTTCTCAGAACAGGGGGCAGTCTTCTTTCCTCCAAAATATTCCCACAAAAATCTCTCGACTCACTGCGACGATAGTCTCGTGACTCTCCCGACTAAAGCCTCTTTCCCCGACTCTGCTTTATTAGCAAAATCTCGAGTTGATATAAAAAAAGGATCAGCTGATCACATCTGACCCTCGGCCCGGCACGCAGCTAACACGAGTGCCAAAAACTATCCCTTGACATGTAAACCTATTCTCCAATTTGCCTTATCTCAATCACGAGTTCTTCTCGCTTCACCAAAATTATACTTTGGGATATCTAAACATTGATTCAACCTTTTGATCAAAACAAATACTGTTAAACAAAACCAAGTATCTCGCCCATCCATATTGTTTACTAGTGACCCAGGTTTAAAACATCACCTCCTGCCCTGAGATCGTGTTTCTCGTCGGTAAACATACATCTTAACCCAAATTGTACTTTGATATATAAACACCGTTTCCATATCCAGTCAATAAAAGTTATATTTGCGTGTGTGCGTTCATGTGATGGTATATGTGTATACCTCTCTCTGTTACATATCAAGCAATGCATGTGTGTGAACATGGTTAAAGCGAAGAAAGTCGGTCCCATTCTCTGAGCAAGAACAGCATTTACCCAAAAAGAAGAACCGATCAGCATCCCGGGATGCTATTAAGCATCAGGTGTCACTTCAGAGTTTTCTTTCTCCTAGTTAAATATCTTCTCAAAGACTAACACCGGCAGTGAACAATTCAATAACTCCAGAGTATTTGCATTTATTTTTCAGATTTTCTCCAGGCTCCTCTTACTATCAAAGGATTCAAATTTGGATTCGTGTGTCCAAAATACATTTTGCTAAATTATTTTCATCATAATAAAATATATTTTATTAACAAACAACACTATAAAATAGACCCAAAATTGCATTCGGATCCACAATTATTTCCACGCATTGGCCCCGAGAGTAATTCTAAGATAACCGTTAGAATAATACAATAGACCTACCCATAATGCTTCAGTGACGATCATATATATAAATATATATAAATAGTCCCCAAACTGCATTCGGATCCACAATTATTTCCACTCAATAGCCCCGAGAGTAATTCTAAGATAATCGTTACCGTCTATCCAAATAACCGTTAGAATAATACAATAGACCTACACATAATGCATCACTGACGAGCATATATATAAATAGTCAAGACGAAACACAACGCCCATGGTCTGACGATTGTCTTTAAGCATGAAACAGAAAGGCACCTTTGGTGTTGGCCTCAATATTCACTTTTATATTTACATACACTCTATCTCTAATATTGAACATAAGTACAGCGTAACTTTAAACAATATTTTTATCATATATATATATATATATATATGTGTGTGTGTGTGTGTGTGTGTGTGTGTGTGTGTGTGTGTGTGTATTCTGTGTGTGTGTGTGTGTGTGTGGTTCTAATTAGAGATTAGAACGTTCGCTTTCTGACCATGGGACCGAGTTTGAATCTCTGTCAGGAAGGCGACTTATCAGTCTGGATGTGATTTGGAAAGTGCCGGAAAACCAAAGCTCGTGTTGACCCAAGACTTTTCAGTGAAATTGGATAAAAGAGAACCTCGGTGGCCGTTGATTGCTGACACAAGACATCGTGGGTGAACATTTAGTTAAAAAAAAGAAACATAAAAAAGATCATTTTTTCTGAATTTCTTGGAAAATTATACTATTAATAAATCAGCGCTTATGATAGTCGAGGAGGACCCTCTTAGTAGGCCTAGCATAGAAATAAATACAATATGGAAGACGCTAATAAAGAAAGAAAGAAGAAGAACAGCAGAATCAGTTAAAGCATGACAGAGAGCAACAGTAGTTGGTAGGTTAGGTTTAGGGCTCCAAGTTAACTACAGAGAATTGTCCTACAGGACGGATTAGAGATTAAAGAGTTGGTTCGTGAATTTGGTGGCATAGTAATTGTGAGTTCAATCCCTGGGCCGGGTAGTGTGCTTGGAATCAGTAGGAACAGGGTGAGCAATAACTGAGCAGAACTATAAATAAGAATTAGACGATTTCCCTAGACATGGTCAGTTGAATGAGAACATTATACCTCCGTAGAATAAATAAACTAAAGGGTTCAGTTCAGAATTCCCTCTAGCAATGGGTAAATAGCAGGACAGACAGGGTTCTATAGCCTTGGATGGAAACTGGTCTAGGAGAAGGACAACTCTGAATTCCAAGCCTGCGGAGGATTGTTTGGGGACCTTGTGACACGTAGTATTCGGCCCTTCAAAAAGTGTGGATGCACAAAACCTTCACCACTATAATCAAATCTCATGTGCTGGTGTCAAGTTGTCGGTTCCTAGGAACTCATCTGCTTGACCATCATACGTCGACTTCGACAGGAAAGTCGAGTATATATATATATATATATATATATATATATATATATATATATATATATATATTGCATGAATCATTCATACAAAAAAGTAGATTAGTAAAGTTAATGATATAAATGACAAAAACATCTCGCAAACAAATTTATTAAAGTTGCATTAACCTACGAACCACTCGATGAATGTTATGATCCTTGTTTTCAAATAAATTATATATATATATATATATATATATATATTATGAAATGGACAACGTCAGACAATTATTTTAAGAACGTATAAACATAAAAATATGTCTTAAAAATATATGTGTGTGTGTGTGGCCTGACGATTGCGTCTAGTATGAAACAGCATGTCGCCTCTCAGTGTTGACTTCAATGTTCACTTTTATATATATATATATATATATATATATATATATATATATATATATATATATAATGAAAAAACAGACCACTTTTTAAGGTACCATTACAATAATTTATTTCACCAAAATCCTTTTGAAGGACTCCGGATCATCAGGTAACAATTCCAACAACGAAATGAAAGGAAAAATGGGGTTAGATTTCTAAAGGATTTTGGTGAAATAAATTATTGTAATGATACCTTAAAGTGGTCTGTTTTTTCATTAAATATTAGCTCTGGATTCACATTGAGCTCTCAGGATTTCATCCTCCTTGGAATTACCCATTCGTTTTACCAAGTTCTTCGTAACTTAACTATATATATATATATATATATATATATATATATATATATATATATATATATATATGTGTGTGTGTGTGTGTGGTATTTAATATCTTTTTTGCTTCGTCAGGAAGAGTTTTCTGAACATGAGTCACCCAATGGCCATCAAAATCAGCCTATATGTGCTACGACGCGTGCGTCACCGTATGTTTATAGTTGCTATTAATACGTTGCTGCCGACGTCGATTGTCTTTAACCGCTTTCTCGGCGGGCCGTCCGTGGGCGTCCTTACGTTTGTGCCGATACGCCGTGCCTCACCTGCTGACGTATTTGTTCAGTGTTCGGGACAACGGTTGTTCGGTGCAAACAACAGAACATGTTTCGCTTAAGTTAAGTTAAGTTAAGTTTGAGGAGGCATACACTTGCTAACCCGTACAAACGAAGAGTAAATACGATTTTACAAAGTATAAAAAAAATGTCTCTTATGTTCTGTTATGTCTTGTGGATTGTGTCCATAGATTTCACTGACAACTAGCAGTAGTTTTAGATATCCACAAGTTGTATCTATATATATATATATATATATATATATATATATATATATATATATATATATATATATATATATATATATATAAAAAGTTATTTCTTATCTTCTTCGTTCCCGCCACTGTGATCTTGTACTTTAATGAAAGGTGAAACCAACATTTTTTCCAAGATTCCAGGCATTTGTGGAGGGTGAAAATCGTACTAGATTCGTTTTGCTGTAGTTTAAGGAAGTTAATTTAAACAAATAATACATGTTCTGTAATTGAATGACAAAATAAAAGAAACATTCTATGTAACGCATTTTGTTTTTTGAAAGCACATCACCAGACTGAAATAATGTTCTTATTTATAGGGAAGGGGGTGGGGAATATAACTGAAGTCGTTGATTATAGTTTTGCACCAATTGATTTGCTTGATTCGTTTTCTGCGGATTATCAACCTTTTGCAGGTTATTTAAAGCCAGACAATATTTTTAGATTGTAGGAATTCTTTTTGGAATTAATAATGATTTAGTGATACAAGTCTTACTAATTAACCCATTGGAGGTATGTCTGTGAAGTATATGTGGTAGGTATTTTTTGCCGCATCTATCTATCTCTATCTATCTTTTTTCATGCTATATATAAAATATATATATATATCTATCTATCTATCTATCTATCTATATATATATATATATATATATGCTATATATATATATATATATATATATAATATATATATATATATATATATATATATATATATATATATTACCAATTTGTGCCTGGTAGGGATAATTCTAAGAAAGATATTAATCCTGGGAGAGCTACAGAGCATAATAATAATAATAATCACGAAGAAAAACTTAAAGATTCATTGCAGCTTTAATTAATTTCGTTGATATCTACATATTCATCTTTTCAGAAAAGTTTTCGTTCTGAAGAGATGAATATATATTCACTAAATAAATTGTTGTTAATACTGTTTACCGGGCTGAATGTCCGAGAAATTTTCATAGAAAATATGCATCCTCTGACAGGAATCGAACCTGTATCCTATTATTATTATAAAGAAAAAAAAAAAAAAACAAAAAACCCAGAGCATTTACTTAAATATTTGTATCTATAAAAAAAGAATGTATAAACATAAAAATGTCTTATATATATATATATATATATATATATATATATATATATATATATATATATATATATATATATATATATATATATATATATATATATGTGTGTGTATATATATATATATATATATATATATATATAGATAGATAGATAGATAGATAGATAGATAGATAATATTAGTGGTAAATATATACATACATATGCAAAATATATACATAGATGCATACACATACATATATATTTTTTTAATAAAAAATTCCAAGAGGAAGAATCCAGGTAGAACTCAATGTCCAGGACAGAGTAAGGATATAATAAAAAGGCTTGACACTAATATACCATGGTCATAATTTATTCAATTGGAATCGTAAATACGATCCAATTCATCAGACCTACAAATTCAAAAGAAAACAGGTATATATATACACAAACAATGGAATATATATATATATATATATATATATATATATATATATATATATATATATGATCTCGGAGATCCTTCGATAGAGATCTCTAGAGAAAAGGGTAAATTTAATAAAAACGGTGGCTGCTGTTCCTGTGAATGTATTACACTTCAAGTTCGAATTGAGATCACTTAGCCATTAGAGTATTTCGTATAGAGAACGCTAAAATTTCCCTTTCTCACTGCTGTGCGCCGACTGCTTAGGGGTAGCAAAATCGGTCGAGTCTCGATCCCGGCTTGAAATAATCAGATGTCTAGCCACACTGAAGAGCTGTGATACAGAAACAGTTTGTCTAACAGTTTGTCTATGAATGAGTATATATATATATATATATATATATATATATGCATTCAGTTGTATTGATATGAGTTTGTGACACTGGGTTTCACTCTTTTGCGATCATCGGACAAACTGATTTATTTTTTTAAAGACGACCGTTATTTTTTAAAACAAAACCGTTCGAAATAATTGATCAGTTGAGTTCAGTTATTAGCTTAAATTTCAGTGTCAAAGGCCTTAATGGCTGAAGTGAAGGACACACTTCGTTAAATTTTAAAATTCACTTCCTTAATTTCGGCATTGTGATGAATGTTTGTGCATTATGATACAATCAGCATTTGGGAAATAGGAAAGTCAAAACTCTTCTTGGAAAGGAATGAATCAGCAGTCTGCTGATAAAAGGATTCAGAGATTCAATACCTTGATTAAAGGTCTTTCTTTCTTTCTGTCCATACCCTTTCCTAAAAAGTAAAGAAAGAAAGAAAGAAAGAAAAAATAAAGAAAGAAAGAAAGAAAAGAAAGAAAGAAAGCAAAAAAGAAAGAAAGAACTGAAATACAAAGAAAGAAATAAAAAAGAAAGAAAGAAAAAAAGAAAGCAAAAAGAAAGAAAAAAAGAACGAAAGCAAAAAAGAAAGAACTAAAACAAAAATAAAGAAAAAAAGAAAATGAACTGAAACTCAAAGATAGATAGATAGATAGATAGATAGATAGATGTTAAAGACGAAAAGAAAGAAAGAAAGAAAAAGAAAGAAAGAAAGAAAGAAAGAAAGAAGGAAAGAAAAATGTTAAGGACGAAAGAAAGAAAGAAAGAAAGAAAGAAAGAAAGAAAGAAAGAAAGAAAGAAAAATGTTAAGGACGAAAAGAAAGAAAGAAAAAAAGAAAGAAAGAAAGAAGATAGAAAGAAAGAAAAATGTCAAGGACGAAAAGAAAGAAAGAAAAAAGAAAGAAAAAAGAAAGAAAGAAAGAATGAGCAGAAATAAAAAGAAAGAAAAAACGAAAATGAAGGAACTGAAACACAAAGAAAAAAAAGGAAGAAAAAGAACAAGGAAAATAAATAGTCAACCAAATAAACGAGAACAAATAAGAAAAAAATAGAAAAAAATAAAAGAAAATAAAAATAAATATCAAAGAAAAAAAAGAAAGACAGGATAAAGAAGGTATGGGGCGGGGAGGATGATCATAAGATTTTTTTTTTGTTTTTCCTTTTGTGAATCCTTTATTCAAGAATAGAAAAACAAAAAATATTGCAGTCAGATTTTTTTCTGTCCATAATGGTCATCCATCTGGCTGGCTGCACATGGGAAGGCGGACGTTTGAAGTTGATGACTGTCCGAGGCGATTCGGAGATGACAATAGATTCAAGAAAAGTAATTCATCACTGTCCAAAAAAGAGATGGGCGAAAAAAAAGAAAAAAAAAAGAGGCAAAATTAAAACAAACAACAGCTGGAGAACATGAGGGAAAAATCAAGAATTTCTTGGAGATGCTTGAGAGACGTTTGCGTGGGGGCTACATATCTCAAAACGAGGCAAGGTTAGGTGACGATTTAGAAAAAATATGAATGTGTAATCAAACACACACACACACACACACACATATATATATATATATATATATATATATATATATATATATATATATATATATATATATATATATATATAATGTAAAGTATACTTATGCATATATGTTTCACAATTAAACCAGCGATCAGAAATATGTTTGCATGTTTTGACGGTTTACGAAAAATATGAATGTGGAGACACACACACAAACACACACACACACACACACAGATATATATATATATTAAAATAATGAGAATGAACAGATCAAGATCGCTTGAAAATGAAACAGTACTAGGGATTTTAACTTAATTCTTTAATTAAATTTAAAGTTTTAGTTTCTGTTTTTGAAACATGGAAATTCCTGTGTAGCGATGGGGGGATGTTTTTTAAATGTTTTATAATTATATATATATATATATATATATATATATATATATATATATATATATATGAAGTGTACTTATGCACAATTAAGCCAGCCATCAAGAGAAATGTGTGAAGAATGAATATAGATAGATAGATAGATAGATAGATAGATAGATAGATAGATAGATAGATAGATAGATAGATAGATAGATAGATTTTGTGCAGATTTGTACGCGAGCATATGTTTGAGTAATTCATACACAAAGACATGATTTACATGAACAACGACAATAGAAATTATACAAGTGTGTATATCTACACAAGCACACACACATATTTGTATACGAGTATGCATGCACACATACACATACACGCACACGCACACACAGACGCTTCCCTCCCCCCCACACACACATATATATATATATATATATATACATGATTTAGACGAACAACGACAATAGAAATTATACAAGTGTGTATATCTACACAAGCATACACACATATTTTTATATACGCATGCATGCACACATACACGCACACACACACGCGCAGACACCCCCCACATATATATATATATATATATATATATATATATATATATTACTTCAAAAGACACGCTTACAACTACTTGTATTTTTTTCGCGGAAAAATTCCCCAAACATTTGGGTAGTTTCTCGTACAAATATATATATATATATATATATATATATATATATATATATATATATATATATATTTTTCTCCGACAGAGCTCAAACCTGTGACACCCTTTGTAGGGGAATCCATCGTTTGAGGGCAGAACGTCACAATAATCAAAGCTGCATTCCCCCCTATTTATTTTTTTTAAGGAAACCACCTTTCATTCACACATTTTTTTTTCTCGAGAGCCCAAATCTGACCAGTTTCTTTTCTGAAACGTAAACAAAGCAATTGCTAAAAACTTAATGGATTCATTTTTATTCCGACATTTTTATGACTTCAAACGTTCTTATAGTGGTCACTTTGTATATGAAAAAGTATTTTATAGTACAAAGTTTAAGGATAGCTAGGATTAAGCATGATTTATATGGCATTTTAATGTATATTTTAAAATCTAAAATAACATCCGGTTTCGGCCCAGCCTTATCAAGTTTATTTCTGGGATATGAAATATAAACGTGTAAATTTAATTGATATTAATGATAACCAATGGAAGGGAAAAATATGAATTTCAAGAAAGCTAGAGTCCAATAACATTCAGACCCAGTAAGCACACCCACTGTTTGCAAAGGGAAGGTCCACGAGATCTGATACACAAGAAGTCTAGAACCTTGAGGTGATTTGAGTAGTGCGACCGAGATAAAATCGAAAAACGGTCCACCCTATAATCTAAGACACAATTCTTACTATTTATAACATGCTCTGCAATTGAAGAGCCAGAATTATTGGTTAAGTTCAGTTTTCCTGACATCCGGATTCAAAATCCTGGGAGGGGGGTAAGTGTTGCTTTATTCTCAAATCCAAACGTTGAAATCTCCTCCCTATGTAGTCGAGTCCACAACTACACTTATATAAATAAATCACTGAATTAACACACACACACAAATACATACATACATATATATATATATATATATATATATATATATATATATATATATATATAGTTAAGTTATGAAGAACTTAGTAAACCGAATTGGTAAATCCAAGGAGGATGAAATCCTGAGAGCTCAATGTGAAGAACAGAGCTAATATTTAATGAAAAACAGACCACTTTAAGGTACCATTACAATAATTTATTTCACTAAAATCCTTTTTAAAGAACTCCAGATTATCAGGTAACACTTCCAACAATGAAATGAGAGGAAAAATGTGATTAGAAATTGATGGGTAGTGTAATTTTTTTGTAATTAAACAGGGAGGGTGAAGGTGGCGGTTAAAGAGACAATACAAAGTATAGGGAGGGTTAAATTTACATCTCTTAAATAAGCTTTTTATATTGGGGTAGGAGGAGGACCTAACCTTGACCTATTTATATGGTTAAAGAAAACGGAAGTGTTATGTAGGAATAGTGAGGAAAGGAAATAAAGTAAAAGGAAAAAAGAAAAAAAATGAAAAAAAAAAGATATATATATATATATATATATATATATATATATATATAGGGGGTCCTCGACATATGCCGGAGTTCCATTCTGACGGCGCGAGTTTGCCTTACGCTTGGTAGCCATAATGATGGGTAAAAAGTAAAAAGTTCCAAAACAAACGACACAAACGAAAGATGACGAATGTAGGTCAATCCAATATGGCGTACAGCCGGTGAAGAGAAAACGCCGTCTTTCTCATATAGCGACGTGGGACGACGTAACCCGAGGGCCTTCTGTACATATATAAATAAAAATACATATTATCCGTCACCGTTCCCATGACTCGGAGTGTCATGCAAAACGCAATCATCAGGTGTTGCGTCCCAACTCAGAATCTGAAGACTTTATATATAAATAAATCATAATATAGTTTTAAAAAAAATCCATATTACAACCAAAAACGTTTGCGGTATCTCTTCTTTTTAACATATGATAAACAGAGTATTTACTTAAATATTTGTATCAATAAAAAGAATGTATAAACATAAAAATGTCTTAAAATAATTGTCGGACTTTCATAATGTGTGACGTCATTTGTTTACATTTGGATACGCCATGAGCAGATATGAATGTACGTGAGAGAATCATGGATGATTGAAGTTTAAATACAGTAAATTCGACCCTGCTAACCGAACGATCCTTTGTAGCTAAATCGGTTAAGGCACGTCAAGCTAAATTACGGTTCCGTATAGGATACAGGTTCGAATCCTGTCGGAGGATGAATGTTTTATGTGAAATTTTCTCGGACATTCAGGCCGCTTAATGTTGTTTAATACTGTTTATTATAAACAGAGCATTTACTTAAATATTTGTATCTATAAAAAGAATGTATAAACATAAAAATGTCTTAAAATAATTGTCGGACTTTGTCCATTTCATAATATATATTGCGTATATTTGTGCAGTATTTATTCATGATGACTTGTCCCATTAAATAATTTCGACAAGTTTTGTCTACTTATTTTCAATAGAACCCTCTCGTAACGTTTCTTAATATCCTTATTAAAGGAAAAAAAGAAAATTACCATGTTGATGTATATTCCTTTTATTTCAAGTACTTCGACATTAGCACAATGGCGTCATGAGGGTTTTATTTTTTCGAAGACAAAAAATTGTCGTGTTCATCATTTTTCTAAGACAAAATTGTTGTGTTCATCTGAAAATTAAATTCTTACGTTTCACAAATGTTTTAAAATGGTTACAGTACATAGTTAAATGTATCTAAATTTTAACAAATAGTTTTCAATATTTTTTCTTTTTTAAAAAAATATTTAGACATTCCAATAACTTATTTACTTCCCTTGACGTATGCACGTATGATAAAATTTCAAAAATGTACTGTACATAGCTTAGCGTATTTCACTTCACACAGAAAAACTTAATTTAAGAAAAAAAAAGTGGACATTTTTTTGTGTGATGCGTTTCGTCCTTTATGACGTCATTGGACTAAGTCTGTGTTTACATTGATGCGACTACGCATGCGCGCGAACGAGAGACGATGGGAATTTTAAATTTAACAAAAAGAGGTGGTTTATATATATATATATATATATATATATATATATATATATCTTATGCAGTGTTAAATTAGAACATGAACATATCCACTACAAAATTGTTTATTTTCGTTTCAACCTCAAACAAGGGAAAGCTTTTTTAGACGTTGAAATCGGGAATTATGGTGTTTTTGACGTTGAAACGAAAATGTACAATTTTGTCGTGGATATGTGCATGTTCTAATGTAACACTGCATAAGATAAATAAATATTTACGGCTCTACTTTATGTATTGAGCACTATTTTTAATTTAATCTGTAATGTTACTGTTCGTTCTCCTACAATTTGATATATATCTATTAGACCGAAATATCCGACGTTGACATTATATTAACATTAAAGCAGCATAATTGCATATTAGGATTTTTGTTTGTTTTTCCGTATATTTTTCTTTATACTGTCGAATCTATATCCATATATTTGCTTACATATATATATATATATATATATATATATAGGGAGCATATCTTCATTCAAACATGTTTCATCGAGTAATTTGTTCTCTTCCCTTTAAGACAAATACCTTCCTCCCTCCCCTGACCACTGTCTCGTGCTTTTCGTCTGACTGAAACATTGAAATGTATAAATTCTGTATTGATTTTTTTAGCTTTCACTGTTAAATTCTACTTCCAGTCCCCCACCCGAACCTCCGTATCTGTATATACACGAAGTCATTCCACATCGGAGAAGATAAAACAGACGACCGATATCTTCGTCTGCCGAAATAGCTATTTCTCATATGAGGTAATTTTGGATGTTATTGTTTATTAATTATATTACTTTGTATTAATAAATACATTTAATTCTTTTTATGCATCTGTTTTAATATTTTATATTAATAGGATCCACTTGGATAATATACCAACGGATTTGTTACCTTTACCATATTTTTTTTTAAAAAGCTTATCACCCCAAGCAAGGCGGGAGTGCCACTAGCACGCAAGCGTTTACAGAGAGTGGGAGCAAGAGTAAAGAAGCGTGATGGAGGAAAGGATGAAGAGAAAGACGGGGAATCGATCAAGGCATCTGGAGATGTCGATTAACATTGCATTTGAATAGTTGGAGATTATAGTAATCGGGGAAGCCAGTAAGAGGATGGGAGTTCCTCAGACGGGAAGTGCGAGACAGGAAGCTATTGGAGTAAAAGAGACGACTACATTTAACCGTTTTCAACAGTGAAAGGGTGTGACTGGGATGCCAATCTAGAAGCACGTTTAAATTTATGCAGTTTGGGAACTAGCGGAGCAGTTACCGTGAAAGTATTTGTAGAAAAGACTGAGGGAAGCGACGGCATGTCTGTAAGAGAGCGGCTGTAAACGAAATGCCAGCTCAGGGCCAATCACATTGCATATCCGTCTTTGGATTTTGTATTGAATGGAATTTCATCCGAAATTATTTTTATTACGATAAACGTATAATTTTTAATACGTATTTGAGTTGCTATCCTTGTTTTATTTGTTTAATAATATTCAATTCTCAATGTTCAAACAAGGAAATAACGCTATGAGTGTTATTCATCATGACGGTTGTCTTCAAGTATAGAATCCAGAGGTTAGCAGTGAATATCTTGAAG